GAGAGAGAGAGAGAGAGAGAGAGAGAGAGAGAGAGAGAGAGAGAGAGAGAGAGAGAGAGAGAGAGAGAGGCTTATCTGGACTTACCTGGTGGTGTCGCCATGTGGAGAGAAAGAGCACGTTGCTTCTGAAGGCAGCATGTATACAAGCTATTTTTCCCATCCCATACACTCACGAGGAGGATGCATTGTGTTCCGGCGAAGACGGTAGACGGTGGTAGTGCAAGGAAAAGGCAAAAGAGAAAAACTGAAATCTTTAGAACTTACAGGCAAGCTCCCCCAGCCATGTAGTAGTGTGTCTGCCTTTTAACCTTGTGGATCTCATCGATCCAATTTTTGCCCCGCAGCCGCACAGCAATTGGCTTCCTGCATTTTCCACAAATGAAGACATTGGCAAAGAAACACAGAGGAGAGTATGAAGTTAAAAAAAAAAAGAAAAAAGAACGGGTGTCATACTGTCAGTGCTTTCTTTCCCCCTTCCCTTCTCCCCCTCCTCCTCCTCCCCGCCTCCTCCCCCTCTTTTACTGGCAACAACTAGCTAGCAACAAAGCTGATGATCTTAGCCATTGGGTTATACCGGCTTGGTCGGGGAACGGCGAGACACCTATAACTCATGATAAAGAAATTTAGAGTTTGTGTTTCAGAAGTTTTAAAATTTTAATCCTATCGGATAAAACAGTATCAGGAACAAGCTGGACAACCTTTATTTTATTATTTATATACTTTTTAAGTTTTTACTTTCTCCTGACGACATTTCAAGCTAACGAGGAGCTTGCCAGCTCCCCAAGCACGCACCGTCCTTTCAAAGGTTCGACTTAAAACCGAAAGGCTGCTTCTCCGGATTCTCCCCCTTCTCACCTCATAAGCATACAGAAAGGGGAATTTTTGATTATTTTTCCTTTTTTTTCCTTTTTTTTCCTCAAGCTCTGAGGTTCACATTAGGGGGGAGGGGAGGAAAGGGGAAAAAAGTCAAAAAAACATCCCAGCAACAGAGAAAATTCACAGGAGGGATTTCCTTTCATTGGGCAGGGGGGGGTAGAGGTGGTGACTTCAGCAAAGGGGAATTTTGCATAAAGCCTGCAGCAAGGTCACCAGACACATGAAGTATGTCGTGCCAACATTAAAATAAAATTAAAAACAACAACAACAACAAGACGCATGAAGTGTGTCGTGCCAACCAGGTTAGCCGGCGTTTGGGTCCGGCCGAACAGTTGAACTGCACGGCCGAATGTTTGGTCCCCCTAGGAGACGCGTTCGCAGAAAAATAAACTGAACAACTTTGGCCTCAGGGTCACATCAAATTCCAAATAAAGAAATAAGTTATTTCTTTTATTTTTTGTTTTTTTGGGCCTGATCCGGCGAAAGGTCCCCGGCCACTCTGGTAGGCTATTTTTTTTTTTGTTACTTGGATCAGGAGCTACATAATCGATCGACTGATTGATTGATCACTGATTAATTATTCGATAGGAAAAAAAAAGGCTCCGCACGTTAGTGTGCCTCTCTCTCTCTCTCTCTCTCTCTCTCTCTCTCTCTCTCTCTCTCTCTCTCTCTCTCTCTCTCTCTCTCTCTCACACACACACACACACACACACACACACACACACGTGTTAAAAAGGTTGTGAGCGGGCGAGCACATTTTTGACAGTGCCATCTTTGCCAATTTTTCATTCCTTTTGTGGATCAGCCAAACGCCTTGAAGAAAATTCATAGGCATGTACACTACATGCTAAAGAACGCACCAACTTTTTTTTTAAAAACAATTACAATTTTTGAAGGCCCCGAAAGGCTTTTTGGCAGGGGCAAAACTTTGGGAAATTCATCCCCCTCATGTTTGGTCGGGTGACACTGGTGCCAAAAAGAAAAACAAAAACAAAAACGAATACTCACTTTTTTGACTTGAAGAAGGCCTTCCCTACCAGTTTTGATAATGCGTCCACTATCCGGTCGTCTGCCAGGAACAGATCATACCTAGCCAGCACGACACGACACAAAACAACAACAGACATTTATTATTATTATTATTATTATTATTATTATTATTATTATTATTATTATTATTTTATATTATTTTATATTATTATTAATGACAGTGGCAAACCTCCCCTGTGTTCGTGAGGCATCTTGCAGTTCGGAAAAAGCCGCACACTACTCCCCTCTCCTGCCCTTTATGCAGATGGCAGGGGCTTAACCCCCCTCCCCTCTTCCCCACTTGCAAACCAGTTCCGCAACCCACCTCCACATTCTCTGTCCCGGCGCCCTCCTTTCCATACAAGGCATTTTCCAAGCGCTACTCGGCACTGCCGGCATCCCTTTTGAATGCAAATGCCAGGCTTAGGACTGGTTAACGGAAGGGCCAAAATGTCGAGGGTTTTCGGCAAATTGTCAGACGCAACGTGGTGGGTAAAATTTTGGAAACAAACAATGCAGGCTCATAATACAAACATTAAAAAAACAAAAAACAAAAACAGGCAAAAGAAAACAAAATAAAAAACTCGAAAACACTAAAAAAACAACCTAACACAAAAATGCTTTCCGAATTCAAATAAGCGTTCGCCAATTTTTTTCGTTAATGATCCAAATATGTCCAAAGACTCCAAACTGAATACATGACGTACCCTACAAAAGCACATACATATCACAGAAAAAATTCAAAAAAAAGAAATCAAGAAAAAAAACAAAAAATCAAAGCAATATGGCATTTTCGGTGCAATTTTCGGCAAAAATGACACCACCCAGTAACCACGTGTCCACCCAGTAACCACGTGTGCCCCCGCTCTCCCCCTCCCCCCCTTTTTGCATGCCAAGCACATATGTCGCATTCCGTAAAGGTGCAGACCAGAACAAGAACCGACCTCTCTCACAAAGCACAAGATAGCGTCGCGGAAGACTTGACTACCAATGATCCGAACAATCAATGTCGCAATGCAGCCCAAACATACATCATCATCATTCCATGGTGTGAACGGGCCTAGCGCTCACACAGGAAGAATGCGCCAGCCCCCAACCGTACACAGACGAAGAAGAGGGGGGTTAGACGAAGAAGAGGGGAAGATGGGAATGTCGTCAACACCAAGTCTTCGGCACAGGCCCCAAATAATCCCTCGTCAAATGTCTGAATCCCAATGTTGAGTCTGGATCCAGCGTCGTCAAGTCCCAAAGTCACCAATCTCTCTCTCTCGTAGTCCGCAGGTACTGAGAAGTTAGGTAGCGAGAGGGGGAGGAGGAGATGGTGGACTTAGAAGAGGAAGAAGAAGAACTCTCTCTCTCTCTCTCNCTCTCTCTCTCTCTCTCTCTCTCTCTCTCTCTCTCTCTCTCTCTCTCTCTCTCTCTCTCTCTCTCTCTCTCTCTCTCTCTTGCTCCAGTACTAACCTGTGAGGGTGGCGCCTTGTTGCAGGTATATCAAAGGCGAAGCTGGAGCTATGGCGCGACAGGTAAGTCTCCCTGGCCTCCGCCAACCATCTCTCTCTCTCCACTACTAATCTAGCTCCTAATAGCGCCCAGCGCTGAAGACTACTGCTAACGCTACTGCTACTACTGCAGCGCTCCTCCAGAGTGCTGCTGCCGAATACTGAAGACTGCCTCCTGCCTCCTGCACGTGAAGTGCCCTGGAAGTTCCTAGTAACTACCTCGTGACTGTCCCCTGCCTGTAGGGCGGGCCAGTCCTATTTAGTGCTGGCCCGTCCAGGAGGCTGCTCTTGCCAATGCCAAGACGTGCCAGACCCTGGCGTTGAAGTTCGACCAAGGGTTGTCTTGAAAACAGGCCAAAAATGGCCTGTGCTAAAACCCTTGTCTGGTGCCTAAGTTTCAGGGCAAGTTGATCTTATGAGGGCCTGAAAATGGCCCTCCGTTTCAGGCTCAAACAACTCAGGGCCTGGAAGGCCCTGTTTTAGGCTGAAACGACATACGGCCTGCAGGCCCTCGTTTTCAGGCTTTCAGTCTGAAACGACACAGGGCCTGTAAGCCCTTGTTTTCAGGCTTTTAGGCTGAAAACGACACAGGGCCTGTAGGCCCTTGTTTTCAGGTTTTAAGCTGAGAACGCTGGTCGGGCCCTGCAGGCCCGTGTGGCTGCGCAGTATGCCACGACATAGGATCTGCAGATAACAGGGGGTAGCGACTGTTTATTAAAAACACAGGACTCTGGCAAGTTACCACACGATGTATAGTCTGACACCTGACACCTGCCTGGTGCGGGAAGGTGAAAAGGAGAAGTGACAAAAGCTTAGAATGGAAGCCCGAGTAAACATCAGCTGTAACTTTACACAAAAGCTGAGAGGCTTTTTACTGCAGTCAAGCAGTTGAAAAGCTTGAGAAACAAATCACCAAGCATGAATCCCTCAGCTAAGCCCCTTTTCGGGTTTCGGATTGCACACACTTCTGATGGCGGGCACACATCTGAGTCCCATCACACAGCATTACAACTGCAGCATCCAGCATCCACTGCCAGCAATTGTATACAGCACTATTAGACTTCATTTATGCACTGTCATGTGTAGTTAGCAGTAGTCTTTTTTTTTTTTTTAATGACCAGCGACTGTAGTCTAACTTTGTAAGTTTTCAGTAACTACACATAATAACCGTTGCACTGAAAACTTACAAAGTTAGACTACAGTCGCTGCACTGTTATTCTTTCAGAATTGTTTTTCATTTTCCTTTTGCTGGAGAGGAGGAAAGGACGTCCTTCACGCAGCCCTACACACGCACAAGAGACAAACAGACACACAGAGAGAGAGAGAGAGAGAGGAGAGAGAGAGAGAGAAAGAATGAGAGAGAGAGAGAGAAAGAAATAGAGAGAGAGAGAGAGAAAGAAAGAGAGAGAGAGAGAGAGAGAAATCCACTCACGAATTACATAGCTGCCTCCTCGACTCAAAACTCTTGTAGTTTGTCCGCACCTTGGACAAACCCATTATCTGTTGACGTTCACAGAAAAAAGCACAGCAAAAAGAAAAGTAAACAGCACTAGAATAGTTTTAGCAGACTAGAATACTCTAGAGTATATCAAAAATAGATGAAAACAAAGTATCGGCTGTACCTCCCTGGTGGTTAACTGTGTACACATATACACACATTCAGCCATTGAAATTATAACTTATTAATGAGTTGAAATTGTTGAACTGTGCTACCATGCATTTGATATTCAGCTTGCTGGTAGATTGGGTGTGGACTGATGGTCCCTGGAATGTACAAGGATCCAAGACCAAAAAGGTAATGCGGACTACTCTAGAAACAGTGTGTGAACCACGACGCTTCCTGAAATGTTCCAACTCTGGCAAGGCTGGCTATTCACAACATATATTTGTATGAAACCGATACACCAAGATTTTTGAGGGGCGTCTGTCTGGTGCATAGACGGCCGAAAGTCCAGATGAGTCGATACAATCGACCGCCAAAGATTGATGAGTATGACGCAGAATAACAAACTGAACAGCTTTTGCCTCAGGGTCATATCAAAACTCTTTATCAATTTTTTTTTTTGCCCCCCAAGAGGGGGCGGGTGCCAGGCAAGTGGTCCCGGGCCATAATTAGGTCAACCAAGTGTAGCATCTGTTCTGCTCAGCTTATTATCTGATCGGTGGTGGGCCATCACGCCACAAAGAAGGAGAAATTTAAGTTGATTAAACAGACCATCACCCAGGATGGAGAAGGCAAGTCCCCATACAAGCTAGTGCCCTTCTCCTGTATTATTATTTGAGGATTTTTAATTTTTAGGATAAAGTTATTAAAATATTTAATTATATGGATAATGCAAACAGATGATAATAAAAAAAAAAACAGTGAAACGGATAACGTTTTGAAGTGGATAAGATAGGTACGTACTGCCATGTAAGAAAAAAAAAAAAAAAAAAAAAAAAAAAAGAAGGATAGGTACATTGCAGTCCATATATCGTCAAATAGAACTGCCCGGTAAACCGTAGGCAGAGAGGGAGAAGAGGACAAAATATTAAATAATATAATCAATCACCTTTGTGACCCCCGTGGAGCGGTCCTGCTTCACCTTCTCCTTATTGGCCTTGTATTCAGCATCTGAAGAATGACATCCACCGGAAAAGAAAAAAAAAAGACACAATGCAGCAAAATGTCTAAGTCCAGCAAGACATAACCAGCACATCTGCAACGACATAAACAGAAATTTCACTCAGTGGGCGCTCTGGATAGTAATTAGTAATCACTAATTAGTAATTATTACTTAGTAATCACTAATTAATCATGATCGGCCATGCGGCTACTTGAACCGCAATCTCAGCAAAGCGCCAACATGTTCCCATGCGCATGCCACGATACCCAAGCCGATTGGGAGAGACTCCGAGGGAGAGATTCCCACCCCACCCAAAAAGAGATTTGCACAGCGGAAGAACAATAAGCCAAGGAGAATTGAATACTAAAAAAAACAATTTCAAAGCCCCTCAGCACTCTCCAAGCTCAATTCGAATCACACAAGAAGCCGAGGCGTTTCAACTACCGTCTTCACCCGAATAGAATCCCTGGTCATTATGGCTGTATTTAGGCTGAAAGTTGCCCCAAATACAGCTGTGATGACCGGGCGTTATATTCGTGTGAGGACGGTAGTTACATTGCAGATATCCGCATTCAACAGTGCAACTACTATCCAGAACCGATGTGTGTGAAGACCATGAGAGATGAAAACGAAGTTCATAAGGTCCGCCTTCCATACTAATGACATGTCAGCAACATGCTATGTGTCGTCAATGCTTCCAGGAAGCTGTCATAGAAAGTATGTGTCTTTACTGCATGGACGATCCCCGGTGCCATCACCCTCCACATCCTCTCCTAGCATGCCCCACATGCGGTGTTGGTCATAATGCGGTGTTGGTCATACACCTGCGGCAACTGCTGAGGGATCTCCCTCTTTCTTGCCACATGGGCGATCAGCAAATGACGGACCAGCAAACAGTCCAAGACATTTTGGAATTGCAACACAATCTGGGGTGATCTACAAATTGTTGGCCAGCATCCGGCGCACCAGCCTGATATCCCCGCCAAYCTCTGTGGTCTCACTGCAACTAATATCTGTCTTCACATTCTCCACCGCCCGTTTTAAACACCGTCAGACTTCCTTGCAATTGCCCTTCAGCTTGATGTTGATCTTCTCCGCCCACAGCCAGAGGATCGTAGTTATACTAAGGAAAGAGGCTTTTCCACTGCTGTCCTACAAGTAGCAATAAGGGACCGCCAACTTAAACTGCGCAATGCTCGAGCAGGTGAGTGGTTTAAATCTCCATCCCACAGCGCTGCCGGCATTGTGCACTGGTCTGGTCATTACATGGCCATTGTACATGCCTCTGACCAGTGGGAGCTGTGGGACAACGGCATCATGGTCCATGCCATGACTGATGTTACTGATTTCTTCGTACATAATGCTGCTGTTTTCTTGCCACACCAAACCATCCGCAATCTCTTTCATGTCAACAAGGGTACCTGTTGCGACTACGCTCGCAAAAACAGATATCACAGGTCATGCATTGACTGTTGCTCTCTCTCTCTCTCTCTCTCTCTCTCTCTCTCTCTCTCTCTCTCTCTCTCTCTCTCTC